TCGCGTGCCAAAGGAGCTCCTACCGACTATACACAAGGAAAGAAATGCAAAGAAAGCATTGTAGATCGGTGTTCGAGAGGCCAGCAAACAGATGTCCGCGACATATCGGATGCTTGTACCAGACAGGCAATACGTATAAAATTTCCAGGTCAACTCCTCTAGACTCATTTCATATGTTCAAAAGTAGACAAAACTGTGTCGACGCACAAATGTCCTGCATGGCTGGTGACGGCTTTGATATCATTTGCCTTGTACATATAAACTGCCCTGATGATTGTCAGACCCAAGTCGCATGCACACTGAAAGGGAAGACGTCAATGTGTTAAAAGATGGGTAGGGTGCTCTTCATGAACAGAAGAGGTCGACAGACATTTGAGATTGGTGCTAACCTCGGTAAAAAACATCCTACACTCCAGTACCAGTCATTTGAAGAGTGGTCAGTGTACTTACCTAAAAGAAGAATCCACCAGCTAGGTAATCATAAGAGCGTTTAGAGACTCACATTTGCCAAGATACCAGTTTGTGTTGTATAACAGAGTAGCTTTTGTCGTGGAACAAGTCGTACACTACAACCCCCGATGCGAGTCCACTACCCAGGACGAGAAATCCGACGACCATCATAAGGAGTAGTGGGAGGTATAGACCGTGCATGCGACTGATCACCTTGAATGCGCCATGCGAAAATTGCATGTGGTCTGTTTACTCGTTCATATATTGAGTCTTCTTGATCTGATATGCTCAAAGTGCTAGTAGAATCTACGTTCATGGGCTTCAACTTACTAAGCAAAACACACTGCACGCGACGTAAACAAGAAAAGATTTCTGTTGTAAACTTCAAGGACCGCATCCCGTATAGAGACCTCATGTCGAGCTAGAAGAAATAAAAAAAAGATGACAAACGCACAATCCGACATAATACAAAGTGATACCTATTTTCGTCAGGAAAACAAGTTTTACAGTTAGTACGCTTTGCGTAGCCACATCGACCATGATGGGTATGAAGGGAGGGCTGGCTGCTAATGTCAGGACTACGATTGCACACACCTCAGCAGAGGATATATGCGATCTACGCTATCAAAGTCCGCAAAACACTGTAATACGTGGTGGTGAAGAATTGCTCCAAATAGTCTAACGACCGAAGTTCACAAGTAAAACGTCAGCGAGGGCAGTGCATTTTACCAAGCGAAGTAAGGTACACTAACACTGAGGCGGCGATGGAGAGTGGCACAAGGCTCACGATATACGCCTTAAAGGCGAGAGACGGATATCCATACAAATCTTGAGCAGCTCGAATTCCTTCCACGACAGCCATTCCGGCCATCCAAGATGCAGGTAAGGCTCCAGCTACCATACCGCTTAATGAGTTGAAGAGGAGCTGATGCTCCATTTCGCCGTACAGCATGCTGGACTGTTGCAAAATCCGAATCGAAGAAATTGGTATGAATCTGCGTGCTCGTGGATATTTGGTGCGCAACGTCTTCAAGAAATTCGAGTCGGAGGTCGATTGACAGACTTTTAAGACGATGTGCTCTCCAGCGGGCGCTACTCAAGCGATTTCCTACAGAGTACGTACATACGTACATAGTTCCATAATTTCAAAAAGGCTCCATGAATTCACACCCAGTTCCGCATTCAACTCAATAGAGTCCGTTTGAGCTGGTTGAAGGCGCCTGCGAGAAAATTGTCTCTTTGAACCTTTTTCAAAAAGGTCGCACGCCTGAAATCACATCACGAAAACCGCCTGTATTTTCAGCTGTATTTTCAGCATTGGGCCTTGGTGTACATATACGGTACTCAAAGGAACTATGTACGCGTACATATGTACGCATACATAGTTTTTTTGCACTTTTTGAAAACTATGCACGACCGGAATAAGTATACATCGGCATTGGCAAAACCTGCGAGCGCATCAGGATTTCTAGCCTTATAACCACCCAACCTACACACCCACCATGTCCAAAAGCTTTGGCAAGCTCAAGTGTCACCTCCTGCCTTAGGCCAGCACGAGGCATGATTGTTGAAGCAAAGTATGTCAAGAGAGATGCTGAGGCCGGGAAAAGTATGTATGGGGTCCTCAGAGCTACATAGTTTTTTACCAAAACATACTTGTTTTTTCCCTGCCAAAAAACAATTCAAAAAACTATGTATGCACACATATGTACGTGTACATAGTTACTTTGAGTACCGTAATACATGAGACTCTGATATAACCAATAGCAGTGTACAAAACTAGAACCCAACATGAAAGCCCATGAAAAAAAACCATGAAAACCTAACTTTTTATTGGGCTGTTTTCATGGGTTTCTTCACATGGGTTGACATTGGCTAGATCTGACCAGCCGTTTATGAAAAAATTAGTTGAGTTTGATATGGACTCAACTAACCCTTCCCCTTCCTTGCCAACGCAGCAAACTTGAATAAACCAAGTAAGATTGAGGTGTCAAGTGATGACCAGGACTGCCTGGGGCCAGAGACTCTAGGCATGTTTTAGGATGTGATGGGGGTTGAGGTGTTCAAACCTTTCCAGGGAGACCCAACCTGAAAACCCAACTTTTTTTGGGTTTTGTTTGATGGGCTTCCATGGGTGTTTTTTGATGGGTTTTCATGTTGGGTTCTAGGTATGTACACCACTAATATGTGTCAAACCCAATACCCTTGAAAACCCCATAGTTTTTTGGTCAAACAAATTTTATTTGTGGTGAAATTGGTTGAAACACCAATAAACCTGCTATACCCAATAACCAATGCTCTATTTTTGAGATCCCAAGATCAAACCCAATATTTTTTGGGCCATTTGCTTACAGTATTTGTTTTTTGGTTTGTTTTTCTTGTTTGATTGTAAAAAAATTCATTGCTAAAGATGTTGACGCTTGGTCCATGCTAAATCTGTAGAGTAGAAAACCTATATCAACTTTGTTTCTATAAGTTCTTTAGATCACAACTTTCATTGTATACAGTTCTTTGTCAAAACCAATATTTGTCGTGGATATTCATCATACCACGTGTGTGTTTGACATTATTCTGGAATCCTCGGCTTATTCAAGGTATATTTCACTTGACTTGTCAAGGACTTCAGTTTGTATACAAGTCCAGTATTAATACTTACCAAAGAAGATCGAATGAGCCATGCTTTGAGTATTATGAGTTTGAAGTAATTAAAGAGATTGTGCGAATAGTAGATTAAAGTGTGTGTTTTGGGAATAGGTTGAATGTAACCTGCATATTTCTTTATTTCTTTTTCTTATGTCCGTGGTGAATCTTTAGTTGTGTTTCTCTTTATATACATGTCTGTTAGACCTCCCAGTTTCTTTCCTCATCGGAAAGAAACTGTAAGTATTTTTATTTCTCTTTTAGAACTTTACATTATCTAACTTGTTTTATTAGTTTTATTTCTTTACTATTACCTTAGCTTACCAACCTTGTACCTCTGCGCTTTACCTGTTGCTTTACGCACAGGTTTGTTTCTATTTCTCTTCCATATTTCAATCCTACTTTTTACTAATCTGTGTGTGCATGTGTAGGTGTGTTTTAGTTTCAAGCTCATTGTAGCTTTTATTTGGCTTGCTGCCGTCGTGCTCACATCTGCACCTGATTACCCCAGGTTGCAACTTTTTCTCATACAGCTGAGCCTTGTCTCTCACTTCACAATATTCTTCTGCAATACAAATCCTATCTTGACAAGATAGATACTTGGTCAAAGCCAATACTCTTGAGGTGGATTTTCCAAGTATTGGTTATATCAGAGTTCATTGTACCTCTACATACCTTCAATCAAAAACGGAAACAAAAAAGGCAACAATAGGGATTGGGTGATGTAAAGTTTTGTAAAATTTGTTTTATCCAAAAATCCAATTCACACGGTGGTAGATTCAGAAGGATCCAGACCACCTGAATATGTTAAACAAAGGCAACCAAAGCCTTCCGAGCTACTGATGGGCAGATGCCAGTGACATGTCCCTTTCTGTGAGGCTTGACCAAGATCAAGGGTCATCCAACGGACCTTTGACCCCTTTTGGTCTATTGAAATAGACAAATAGTTTCTCGGATATCATGCTCCTTCCCTCAATTGTTCTAAACAACTACCTTCTGCAAACCTCTTTTTAGTACAATTGGGTGGATAAACAAACAAAAATTTTAGATCAAAAAAAAAGTTTAATTTTGTTGTAGAACTACACATCTTATAGACGATGTTGCACTTTGATTGAATTGAAAATCGTCTCTTTTCAACACTTAGGTGCTAGCTGGCAAGATTTACTGAATTGAAGATACGCAAAAATACTCTAAAATTGAGCTTTACAAAAGTTTACATGGCCCAATCCCTAATGATGACATACACTGGGGAGTATCATAGTCATGTGGTTGTACACAACTACAGCACAAAATCATGTCCCTCAAACTATATATGTATACTTACTCTTGTTCCAGAGTTCCACATCATTGCGGATCCCCATTCTATTGTTTTCTGATTGTCTGGCTTGTCATCATAGGCTGAACATCTGGTCACATTGCAACTCATTGATATGTAAGGGATGCATTGATCAGATTCACAAAGCTCATACACATCCGCAGTGGCTGTGGTGTGACTGTGGTTGTGTGTGCATACTGTGACACTGAGCAACATGTTCCTTGAATATCAATATGTGACTAAATTTCCTCCAAGTGATCAATTCTTTAGTGGCTGTACAACCAGTACAACAGTCTTGATGGACAGCCAGGACATTGGAAATTAAAATGCCTTCCATAGTGAAGTGCAGGGAAATGGAACATTCAAGGTTTGTGGTCTGCAGACGGCCAAAGCTGGTGGAATTGGGATTTATACCAAAGCACCGGATTTACAGAACTGAGTATAAACTCAATGTGTGATGAAATAGAAATAGATTTAATCTACAAGATACCCCCATCACGTGATGAAAGGTTATTAGCAACTATGGCATAGACTGAAACCAGCTAGTCCTCCAAATAGTGTGATCATAGTGACAAAACGCGGGTGCTGTGTATATGGTTTGGTGGTCTAGTAGTATGATTCACCCTTAGGGTTCCTCGTGAGAGGCTCAACCTGGGTGAGGTCCCGGGTTCAATTCCCGGCCAGACCCTGCTTTTTGTAGTCTACTTCTGAGGTTAAGAGCATCCACAGCTGAGCTGTGCTGCAAAATTGTATCGTACGGAGGGTTGTTGAGGGAAGTGTTTGAGGCATGAATTTTGAACAATGCACAGCCGTGGTTCTGTACAGTACAGCGTGTAGCATATTTTGTGAGGTGAGTTATGTGTTTAATTGATCATCAAGGGAGATGATTTGCAAGGAGTGCGGTCATAGAAGTGAGAGTTTAGAGGAGAAGCGAGGTACAGATGAGTTCAAGGAGAGAGCCGAGATAGAGCAAATTTCTTTTACTTTGACTCGCACGGGGAAATTCCCTCAGTTATATGAAGATTCAGGGCATTGGCTGTGGATGATTTTGCACTAAATTTCCGTACAACACGGTTTACGCCACATGGCTGTGGATGCTCTAAGCATGTAAAAACTTGTAGTCGAGTGCAAAGGTAATTAAAGACAGGTAGATTTGGATCACAGACTTGCATCATTGGAGTGTACAAACGGGTTGCAGAAAGTACAACTTATAACTCCAATCATCAAGGCCTTCTTTAATTGCAGGTGGGCACAATAGGTGAAGCCAAGGTTAGAGGGGTCCTGGGTTGCTCGATAACAAAAGGTAAACTCCAAGGTGCAATGTCAAAGTTATGGTCTTCTATCCTTTGCCAACTGATGTCACGTATAATTGCGCATCAATTCCGATATTCCCAAAAATCGTTTGCAGAAATTGCAAAGTGTTAGATGATTAAATCCAGCCTATACAAAAAATCCAATCACATTCACAATCTAACAACAAAGAGGATCAACAACTAAAGATTTCAAATAAGTTCCAAGGAGTGATGAGGATTGACTGGTATAAATGAATAAGAAAGCAAATACATTTTTGTATGTAAAGATGAACCCACAGATGAGACTTTTTCAATGATCGAGAGGGAGTGAAATGATTAGGTACAAATAAACAAGAAGATTGGCCAAGAATAAAACCCGAAAAGAAATGCATTGAAGAAATGGGAGGGGTATCAGAGCATCGAATGCTCGGATGAAACCATGCTGAGTTATGATGACACATTTCACACTAGCTACGTCTAACCACGAGCTAAATCAAATATCAGGCGCATGATACCAGATGCTCAGAGAAAACGTGGTGCTTGGGGATTTGACGGAGGGCATGGAGGATAGAGAGGTTCAATATCCAGCTTTTCTGCAGTTTGAGAGCCTTGTGTTGATGAAAAGGTTTTTTCATTTGATATTGGTACGTCAGGTGCTCGAACATTTGCGAATTTTGAATATGTATTTGTTGGTGGAGAAGCTTCGACGTCAGTGAAGACAACTCGGTCAATTCGTACACCAACACCTTCCACTGGTGTGGCATTGAAGATATTGTGCTGTTTCAACATTTGGGATACAAAGTCAATCTAAGCTACACATGATCTCGGAGTCATGAGTTGAACTCGGGTCTTCACTTACCGCAGGGAAGTGAGTTGCTGCGAAGCTCTTGTCGCTACTTGCCGCCAGCGCTTTTGCAAAGCCAGCACGCGAATTGAGTGTTACGACCTGTAGGGAAACGACCTTAACATACTTTGAACAAAAGACCATCGAAAGCGTTGAGAACATACCACAGAAAGGAGATACATTTGAGCGGCTGGGAGACTGTTCCATCGGTGTGTTATAAGATGTGAGTAAAAGACCATGTCAAACGGGTATCAATCTGGAAGGCAAACTCACGTAAGTGAATAAAGAACTCCGAGACCAACATGACCCAAGATGACGATGGAGACGACGGCTAACGCAGTTGTGAAGAAACTATCAAATGAATATTTGGAACAAAGAATGAAACAAATATGAGCAAGTATATCAAAAAGATAAGAAGCTTTGGACCAGGCTGACCTTGTCTGAAACGAGAGCATAATGATTTGATTTATAACACTATGGAAAAAGACATTGATGAGTTTGGAGATAGAGTGTCGAGGATCCGACAGTTGCAAGAGATACCACTCACGAGCGAGTCTTGGTGAACTGAGTCTTTTGAGTTTTGAGGAATACGTAGAGGGCAACAGTGAGGAACACATCGCCAGCAATCTATGAAGGTGTGACCAGTCAGTAGCCGAAAAGACCGAAGAATTCAAAGTGATGCAAGTCGAGCGTACCGCGGCAGAATAAAGTCTGTGGCCAAGTGAGGGATGATGTGAGCTGAGGCGATCCAGATAAAGAAGGCATTGACAACTCACAAGTAAAGGATCAAAAGCAAAGAAAGCTGAGAGTAAAGCTTAGTTTGAACGAAATGGATTGACACCATGACTGAGAGACCAAAATGATACAGCGCAAGTAAAGCCGAAACAAGAGTGATCGGTTTGTTGTGGTTAGAGAACACGTAGAGTCGATAAGTAAAAAAAAGTTGCGCTACAAAAGTAAAACTTCATTCGTCAGAACCAGAGAATGATAAGTGGGGACGGTGAATAAAGGCTGACATATTGTTACGACCACTCGTGACAGCATGATGTGAATTCTATTGGCGAACCGATAGAAATATAAAGCGGACCCGGTAAATATGACGAGACACACGTTATCTTGACCGAATTGGACGACTGGAAAACTTAAGGTCACTCACCCGAATTCTGGTATGGACACATCTAAACCTTGAAAATCCCCAAAGTGCATGACAGCGTAATAGTATATGATACCGATGAAAGACCTTTGAAATATGTGAAAAATAACAGACAAACTAGCTCATGAGCACCCTACCGACTGAGGGAAAGACCGTAGGAGGACTCACGCTGTGTGCACCATGGATAGTATCAGGATGACAATCACGCAACTGCGAAGCAATACGTGATCCTTCGGGTAACGATATAACACTCGGATAGACTCCATCATCACCATTCCACCTACCCAGGCGCTCACATACCCTCCCATCCTTAAAAAATAACATACCAAACACCCACACGGAGCATGTATCAGTGTGTGTAGGCATGGGCCAAGTCTTTTTCAAGGTGTGAGGAGACATACAAGAAACCAGGAAGGGTATAGCTAAGCAAAGCCTCATCGGTCGTGCTATGTCCAGGCAGTTCGAGATTGACCATTTTCGGGTTGCGCGTGGGATGGAGAAGAGAACCTGTTAGGTAAAGTGCAGCACAAGATCGAGGTGGACGATTCGCCTTCGAGGCAACGTAGGATGAGATTATTGAACGGTGGCAAATCTCTTGCCAATCAAAGTCTGACTTTTGTAAGAAAAAGTCGGCACATTGTTTGGCAGTTCTGACCGCTTGAGAACTTCCTGCCTTTCGCACTCTGACTCTTTCCTGTATCAACTTCTAACTATTTGTTATGTACATATCATGTCAAGCGATTTGAAATGAATACTCAAAGTGGCAGGTGGACGAAATTGAAAGAAAAACTTGGTCTCAACTACATACATACAAATTGAAAGCCAGGAAAGCCTTCCGTTCTTGCTTATCCAAGGTGTTCGACGCAGACAGTGATACAGGGCTGTACGAGATGCGATTCGAGGCAAAAACTCGGGACCCCGGCAAACCCCGCCAATCAACTATGGATTCCGGTTGAGCAGCTGATGAGCCTCAGAGCATCACCACCGGTTCAGGACCTGAATGCGTCATACAGCCCAATATTTTTGAGATTTCACACATTGTATTTGACATTCAGGTTACGAGCCCTGCACCGGTCCCTCTGGAAGGCATCGTACACCTGCCAAATTCCTGTGATTCTTTCCTTTCTGATAGTTCCGTGTGATAAAGCGGATGTGATCAATCGACCGAGTTACCCTTTTGGTCAAAATTGAGCACAAAAGGGTGCAATTCGTGTGAGAAGGATGTCATATAAGCGATTCAGGCGTCCCCGAAAAACCTCAGGGAGCACGCCGAGAGACCTGGATCGCTTCTCAAATACGATCTCACAAGTGGCCTACGGTGGGACTTGAAAACCCCGGTGGCTCACTATTTCTGAATGTCAACCCTGGAATGTCACTCACAGCTTACGTTCCTATTACGTTCGATGACATTCCAGGGTCACCGGTGGTCATGCTCTCAGAACTACTTTGTTTTCCAGCAATGATAAGCTGAGGAGTTTTGAGCAACATTCGAATATACCCAAGGAATGAAGTTGAATACGATAGGAGTTCCTCTAGGTTTCAAGAACACACTAGAGAGGATCCAAAAACCTTCGATTCAAAGATGAATCCAAATCAGCGGATGAGGTTTTCTTCTACCTACTCTCAAGTTGTAAAGCCTGAGTCTTGAAAACCAAAAACCCTCTCTTCCAAATTTAGTGTCCTTGGATCTCATTCTATATAAAAAATTTATTCATTTCTTTTAATATTCTCTTTATTTCTAACCGGTCATCTTCAGTGTATGGTTTGACATATAATCTCCATGCCTCCAACTTCCACCTGCCTATGTTGCAAATATCGTGGTATTTGTAATGCAAATCTTAAAGATGCGCCTCCCACTCCGAATGAGTGTCCTGTCAACCCTAAATAACCTTTTTCTTCCCATACCTTTTGGCATGAGCTTATAATCAGCCTTTTTGTTATAGAGATGCATTTCCCTTCTTCTTCAAAGCTGAATAAGGCTGTGCTGGGGTGATTTCCACTAGATAATCTCCGTTTTACCGCTGCTACTGGGCAAAGTGCGTTTTTTAAAGCTTTCATTTGCAAGAGTTGAATTCCCCCAGCCTTTGCTGTTTTCGCGCCCCATGATTTTAAAAGGAGAGGTTGTGAATTGGTCTTACTGAGCCATACCCATTCACCACCACACCCATTGGCTGGGTTCTGAAAAATCCACACCTTTGGTAAACTTCTTCATGTGTGAATGGGCCAAATATTCCCCATGTTCTTTTTGATTTTCTCTTTGGAGAATCTAGACCACTTGTGATTTGGTGGTGTAAACCAATGGTAATCACCTAGTACGTGCCATGGAACCCTATGGTTGAACCCTTCAAGAAAGCCTATGATGAGATCTTTGTATTTTCATAGATGTTTGCGTTTTTCAA